GAGCCCACTTAAAAATGGGTCCCTAGTATATGGCAAGCAAGCTGTCCAGATGTACCAAGCACATAAGGCAACATTTTTTGTAAAGAGAGAAAAAATTATTTTGTTGTTTAAACAATTGTACAAACATGTATTTTTTCTTACAATTGTACAAATATGTATTTTTTCTTCCTTTTTTTTCTTAAACATTTAGAATTTGGCTTTCCTCAAAAATATTTATTAAAAAAATCCAAAACATTTGGCCGAAGCCGACTCTTGTCGATTTTGGCCTACCAAGAGATCTTTAACATGCGCAGCTGTCGATTTTGGCCTACCAAGAGATCTTTAACATGCGCAGCTTGCACTCAGGACATCCAAGATTTTCCACCATCAGGGGTATGGTTGAAAGACAGCAGTATGAAGGAGCCAAGGAGTAGCAGTAAAAAGGCTGCAGAAAGAGTCAGGCACCCAGAGGAGGAGGCAAAGAGGGAGGAGGTGGGGGGCAGAATTTGGAGACAAAAGCAGACGATAGAACATGGTTAGAGAGCAGGTAAGGAGGTGAAAGGAAAAACATTTTAGAGAAGAAAATTGTTCGTCGCTGTCAGGATTCAAACTCGGAACCTATTGAATGAGAGGCAAACACCTTAACCTCTAGACCTCGAGAGCCCCATTTTTTCCATCTGAATAGCTGGCCAATGATAAGTGAGTGATAAGAACTTGAGAAGAAGACATGGTCATCATCTGGGTTGGATACACATGCAATGTCATGGGCAAAAATCATCTTATCCCCATTGTCTGGGAAAATCTCATGGGACTGTTTAGTGTCCCGAACAGGGCCAGTATGGGGTTCTCATGTTTGTGCTGACTGGAAAAGACCATTACAGAAATCTGAGAAAATACCCATAATGGATTTACTCTTTCTTCAAAATTTGAAACACAGTATAATGAGAACAAAATATGGGGGCTCACGAGGCCGAGGTCTAGAGGTATGGTGTTCGCCTCTCATTCAAAAGATCCTGAATTCGAAACCGGACTCTAAAAATTTCACCTTTCTCCTCCTCCTCCTGTTCTATCACCTGATTTTGTCTCCACTTTCTAAACTAGAGATAATTGAGGCTAATTTAAGCCTCATCAGCTTCGGTAGTATCCGTCCCACTTTTTACAAGGCTGAAAAATTGGGTACAGAATATACCACACTTTGTTGATCTTGGTCAAAAGGAGATCCCCTCACACTGCCCTGGGAGAATGTTGATTTACCTTGGGTTTCAAGAGCAATGTTGAACTCTGTCTGGTCAGCTGCATGAGCTGCATGACCAAGGGTCAAGAAATCCTGAAAATCAGAGACATAAAAGAGAATTATGAAATTATACTATTCTCACTACAATCTCTCATTCTGAAGTAGAGTGAACCTTGAACCATAAATGAGAGAAAAGAGAAGACAAAAATAATGGTATCATATGTTCTATGCTCCCATAAACACAATTTACATAATTTAAGAGGTAGGTTGCTTTTGCCCAGCCTGTAAGGTCCAACCTTTGTTGAGTGGGACACAGCATCCCAGCACAAAGACGGAGATACTTGATGGGTGGTTGGTGGGTGCCCTGATATAGTTTGCTCCTTCTTTCCTATCAAACGTGTAACGTCCTTAAAATCTTTCCTACTTCCTTTCTGTGTATGTTACTCTTCAGTAACATCTCTGATCCTCAGCACTTCTATGATCTATTTGTGTTGCAAATGCTGTAAAACTCATACTACATCTAAAAGGAGCTCTGTTCTATAAAATAACTTCTCCTCTAGAGAATTGAACTTTTATAGATGCTTACCATTACATCAAAGAGGCTGACAGAAAGAGAAAACTGTACAACCACTTTCCTTGTAAGGCCAAATTTGCAACATTCTATGTAGGTACCAGAAACTAAATTTCAGATCTGTTCCATGTGAATGGTATATGTCCCTTGAGAATTTTGGTACCATTTTTTAATCTCTCAATGTTTAAGAAAACAGCTGTTATTTTGATATAATAATTAAAATATAACGACATTCGCTAACTGGCTGCAACCCCATGTTTGAAAATAATAAAACAATACCAAGTGCACCAAATATCAACATATGCATAAACATATGGTAATCAATAAGACGCCTAATTTTTTTCTCCAAAACTGTGATATCGTTGCAAATCAGTATTTTATTGCCCCAAGAATGTGGAACTGTTGTATTCTGACAAAAACTCAGAGCCCTGTCTCGGCTGGCATAACACTGGCACCCGTGCCGAGTAGTTTGGCTCTATGCCGTGGTACACTGACTGCTATGCTCCCTTGTCGGGGTCATACACTTTCAGAGTTTTGCAGTGGGTGGTTGGCAGGTGCTCTGGTGTGGTTTGCTTCTTCTTTCCTATCAAACATAAATCTATCGTCCTTATCTCCCCTCCTTCTTTTTTATGTTTGTTACTCTCTTGTAACACATCTAATCTTCTGGCGCTCATTTGACCTTATGCAGTTGCAAGCGCCATAAAACCTCTACTAAAACAAACAAAGAGTTTTGCAGAAGGATCAATGCAAAGTAATGCCGAGTCAAAGACTTTACTCCAACAGAAAAAGAACTGATCTTGCTTTTTGTGCTTTTTTTAAGCCAGTATTTGACTTTGACATATTTTGTGTAAAAATAATTATCTTTGAAAAATTTAATTCCAAAGGCTAAAAGTATACCACTTGATAGGTCACTCAACACTCTATAGTTCTCTGCCAATGAAAATATTGTATTTAATTATCTATCCTTCTGTTAAGCATTTAAATGTTTAGGTGTCGATTCTTTAACTCACTTGCGACTGGGCCCTTTCACCAGTCACAAGCGTTGAAGACTGGCGTTTTTGGGGGTATTTCAATAAATCACCACAACTCTCAGAATTACCCTATTGTAATCATTTTTTGACACAGTAAAGTAACATTCAAGCTTAATCTAATGCAAAAAACTAAAGTTGTCTAAGTCTAATACTTTAATTTGTATGATTTTTTAAAAATTGGCATGAATTTGATTTTCCGAAAAATTTCCAGAGACGTGACAAGTAGAATGAAATTCACTGCAACAACAAAAATAAAAGTTCAAAGTGTTCTGGTTTGATTTGTATACATGTGCGAGTGTTTGGTGAAAATATAAAAGCTGGTCTGTGCATTGATTCAGACCCATACACTGAATTACATGAGACAGATGTACGGCACGTCGTTGTGATTTCGTTACGCGAAAAACAACACCGGTACTAGTGCTAGATCTAGCCCTAGAACTACGACTCGGGCCGTGTTCGGGTACATATCCAGGATCCTAACTATTAGACACATCATATTCTGAGACACTAGAACTAGTAAAACGGACAGAAGTATAGAAAACGGCGAAATTATGTGATTCTTGTTCATGCGACTTCTTCGACCGTTACTACGACGCGACTGTCGGATTACTATCAGCTGTATAGAAAAAAACAAAACGCGAGTTCCGGTCTGTTCAACCCCAGTTGGGGTCACTGTCCTTCACCTTCAATAACTTAAAAACTACCGGCCCCAGAGATACGAAACGAAGTCTAAGTAGCTCAGGCTTGGCCAAACAAGGGTACGAGGCGGGTCTCGCGATCCGTGCGTGATTTGTAGAGCGTAAAAAAATTTCCAAAGTTGGTCACGCAGGGCTTGTGAGACCCGTCGCGAGAGTCGCGGCGGGGGTCACGCAACTGTTGTGTGACCCGTCTGAAGTGAGTTAACTGGCCGACCTCGCGTTCACTCGCATTCAACTACAAGGGGCTTAGCTTTCCACTACGATTCTTCTTTTTTAAAATTTTATAGTAGAGGGTTTTACGGCGCTCGCAACTGCATTAGGTCATATGAGCGCCGAGGGGTGGGTGTCAACAGAGAAGTCTTTACAGGGAATCAGACTTAGACTGCTCACCTCACTAGTCGACTATCAAGGCACCCCAGAAATAGCAGGTCACAAGAGAGTGACAAACATACAAAAGAAGTAGAGGAAAATGACAATAGTAAGGATCAGGAAAGAAAAAGCAGCAGTTCCCTGTTGTAAATCAGGCACAGTTATGAGCGTGACAAGAGTCAGCCCATTTACAATTCTACTATGCTTGAACGAGAAATGTCCCCCCCTTTGGGAATGGTCTAAAGACACTACAGTCAATGACACTGCCCCGGGGGGTGACGACGATTCTCCAACTCCAAATACACAAACATACAAATAGCACACACCATTGTAATGAGGAAACCCTGAACTTTATCATGATGTATTGCATTTGGTGCTTGTCAAAAAGCATAGAAACAGCGATCTGAATTACCCTCATTTCACCTAAACCACCTGCTCAGAAGGTAGGGTGTCAGCTCATGCGCAGCGTTTATGCTACCTATTCTGTGATAATAAGTTGAATGCATAAGGAAAACATCATCAAGGCACAAAAATTATCAATTGTAAAAATAGGAACAGTAAACCCAAAAATTCTTTTTGGTATAGAAATGGGAGCATTTCTGCTTACTGGTAGTTTTCCTACAAAGATAAAAAAGAAAAAAAAGCAGGAGTTTGGTTTTCTATCAGATTACTGTTATGTTTTGATTAACACTTTGCAGCCACACAGCCAGCAGTACAAAATATCCCATCCGGTCACCCAGCCAGGAGAGTGACTGCAACTGACTTCTCGGGCCTGTCGCAGAACTCTATCAAGTGACCAGAATGGATAATTTTCACCGTCGCATTATTGTGGCAAGTGACCGCAAAGTGTTAAACATTATCAGTATAGGCAGTTTCCACTGTATATATATTTTTCCCCTTTGAATTTTGTACTTATTTCGAGAATACCTTGTAGGTGAGGCTAATGCTGAGGAACCGGTCACTTCTGGGATAGGACAGCAAATGAGTTTTCCGAATGCTGCCGTAGCAGCAAGGGCAGATAACAAAGGCGGCATTTACGTTGAGACACAGCTGAAGCACCATGTCTGTGGCCGAGCCGCAGGCGTGAAGACAGACGCCGACATGGAACTTTCCCACGAAGTAATCCAAGTTGCACTGGAATGCATTGTAATGTTTTGTGATGAAGTAAGAGCTGCACAACAGAAACAGCATAAGCGAGGCCTGCAGGCAAAATGAGTTACTTCTTGGATTGGTCAAATTTATCGGTGGACTTTGTACAATTCAAAAACATGAAATAATAAAAGACGAGTTAAACTTGAAGAAGTCACATCAATTGAAAGTCAGTAAATTTTACCCCCATGTCCATTTTTGTCCAATTTTGCCATTCGAGGATTGTGATAAGCAACTCATTTTGTCGGCATGCCTCACATACCAGTGATGACTGATTGTAAATTTACATAGATATATATATATATCCACTCCACAACCTTGAAAAGCCTGATATGGCCAGTACCTCTATATATGGGAATAAGGCCTGAGCCTTGAAAAAAATATAGATAGATAGGGAATCCAAACAGCAGAAATGTTGTTTTATAGAAGACCGGTAACGGTCAAATAGATAGATAAAAGACACACACTGTAGTATGCTTTCTAAGATCAGAAAAAACCCCGACTCAAATGCCTTGGTCGCGCAAACAGAACAGAAACATAAACATGGACCTGATGACAACTGCGCTACACAGCAAAACAGAAGCAAAGAGATATAAGGAAAGAACCTCCTCCATCGTACAGTAACAAGGTAAAATCCAACAGTGGTCTACTACAACTTTGTGAAATAAAACATCAAAGCAGAGACACCGAGTGGCAAGGAGTGGGGCACCAATAGACAAACACATGGCCACGGTGACAGGTGACCAGTGACAAATCCCCCCC